AGTGTAGAGGGAATTGGTAGGTAGGGTATGGAGCTTAGCAGTGCTGTGTTGCTTAAAAAAAAGTGAGATCTTACACAGGGGCGGACTGACAACTCATGGGGCCCCTGGGCAATAGGGGATCATGGGGCCCCTGTGTCCTTGCCCAAACTCAAAAAAGCCTATGAAAAAGGTACCAGGGGCATCTTATGGGGCCCTCTACTGACCCCGGGCCCTCGGGCAGTGCCCTAGTTTCCAAATAGTCAGTCCGCCCCTGATTACACCTATCTGTGCTCTCTGGAGGGCCTAATGGGAATTGCCAATTATTTCATAAAATAGTTGTAGCCCTGGCTGGCAGCCCCTTTAGGTTATGGGAGATGAAGAGTCCAGGCATCATCATGCTGGTCCATAGACTGGAAAATCTATTATTTACTGGTGATGGACAGCTCAAGAAGGGGAAAAATGTGACTGGAAGCAAAGGTGGCAAGGGGACTGAAGCAGACCCTCCAGTGACAGAGGGAAGCAGGCGCACCAGACTAGAAATGGTCAGCAGGGCTGCTGTTACAAACCATGGGGTCCCATACAGACAACCTGACAGACCCCCCTCAAAAAAAAAACCAAAACACAGTTTATTTTGCTTCAGTTATGAATGAACACAGTGCCGATCACTCATTGTGTTCATTCAGGAAAGGAAGGGCTGGTAAATGTAACGTATTTACCAGCCCTTTCCCCCACTCTCTATCCTGAAGGATCCTATTATGTGCTTGCAGCTTTCAGTAGGAAGGAAAGGAGAGAAGCCGGCAGCACTGTGGGGATGGGGGCACACAAGGGGGCCTGGGCAGCAGGGGGAAACATATGGTGCACAGGGAGGGTGATGGGTGCAGTGGGGGGGAGAAAATTACGGGAACTGGTCCCCTGTATGACTCTTCGCAGCGGCCGAAAGCCAGCAGAAGAGAGAGGAGAAGAAACCAGCGAGAGATCCATGCAGGGGATCAGTTCCAGTAACTGCCCCCCCCCCCCCCCCCCCACTGTGTCGATCCATCTCCCTGTGCATCATACATTTCCCCTTGCTGCCCAGGTCCCCCTTCTGGCCTGGGCCCCATATAGGAAGACTGGTGGTACTCCCTTATCCACAGCCCTGATGGTCAGCATTTAGGTAAGCTGCTGAGGGGTTTGCGACCCACTAGGGAAAGTGAGATCCTGATAAAGGTGCCTCCCCCAAAGTGAGAACTACTGTGGAGAAGACCTGAGAAGGGGAGGACTTCAAGAGAGATCTTCTAAACGCACTGAGGACAAATCTTCATCTGCCCCACAGGAAAGGTTGTTAGGGTACAAGCTGGACTAAGACGGACCATCATTGGATTTCAGATTGTTCAGAGACCATTTGGTCACCTGCCTGTGTACCAATTGTTGCCTATGAACATGTAAAGGCACTGCTGCCGGATGGATGCCTATTTAAAGGGGACATCATTGCCCCGTTGCCAATAGTTGGATTGGGACACTTTTTGAATACATACTTATTCTTTCTGGGTTAAAAACACCTTCTATTTAAGGTTGAATGCTTCACTGTTGAGTTTGAAGGCCCCCACCACCAGCAAACTCTGTGGTGATCCTACCCATTGGCCAGTGCATAGTCAGGGATATTGGGTAGTAGCCCTAGTTGGTTGTAACTTTTAGACCAGGCAAAGTCACCCCCCCCCTATAGGAGGACTGGTGGTACTCCCTATCAACAGCGCTAATGGTCAGCATTTAGGTAAGCAGCTGAGGGGTTTGTCACCCACTAGGGAAAGTAAGATCCCAGGTAAAGGTGCCCCCCCCCAAGTGAGAACTACGGTGGAGAAGACCTGAGGAGGGGAGGACTTCAAGAGAGATCTTCTAAACGCACTGAGGACAAATCTTCATCTGCCCCACAGGAAAGGTTGTTAGGTTACAGGCTGGACTAGGACAGACCAATCATTGGATTGTTCAGAGACCATTTGGTCACCTTCCTGTGTACCAAGTGTTGCCTATGAACATGTAAAGGTCCACTTTTGCTGGATGGATGCTTATTTAAAGGGGACATCATTGCCCTGTTGCCAGTAGTTGGATTGGGACACTTTTTGAAGGTTAAAAATACCTTCTATTTAAGGTTGAATGCTTCACTGTTGAGTTTGCAGGCCCCCGCCGGCAAAAATCTGTGGTAATCCTACCCACTGGCCAGTACATAGTCAGGGATATTGTGTAGTAGCCCTAGTTGGCTTTAACTTTTAGACCAGACAAAGTCACCCCCCCCTATAGGAGGATTGGTGGTACTCCCTATCCAACAGCGCTGATGGTCAGCATTTAGGTAACCAGCTGAGGGATTTGTCACCCACTAGGGAAAGTAAGATCCCAGGTAAAGGTGCCCCCCCCCAAGTGAGAACTACGGTGGAGAAGACCTGAGGAGGGGAGGACTTCAAGAGAGATCTTTTAAACGCACTGAGGACAAATCTTCATCTGCCCCACAGGAAAGGTTGTTAGGGTACAGGCTGGACTAGAAAGAACCGTCATTGGATTTCAGATTGTTTAAAGACCATTTGGTCACCTGCCACTGGCCAGTGCATAGTCAGGGATATTGGATAGTAGCCCTAGTTGGCTGTAGCTTTTAGACCAAGCAAAGTCACCCCCCCCCCCCCTCAAGTGAGGACTACTGCAGAGAAGACCTAGAGAGGCAAAGGCTTCAGGAGTGACTGCAGAGCTCAATCTTCTTTTCATGAAGACTAAGAATGACCTCTGCAGTCACTTTTGCAGCAGTTTCTTTTGTCTCTTTTAGTCAGTTGACCATGTCGACAGTGCTTATGCGTATCAGATGACATTTTATCGGAAACTGTATATACCATCATCATCTTTGATACTGTACCTCGCGACATGGCAAATAAATTGGCAACTTCAGTTACAAAGGCACCAATTATCCCCTGGTTCACATCTGTGCGGCCGTGCGATTTGAATGGACTCTTGTGCCCCAGGACACGCAGGGAAGAAGTCCCTGCTCTACTTTGAAAATCGCAGTCCACACGGTTCCCAGTATGGTTTGCGATTTCCAGTGCGGGCGGCGTACCTTAAAAATAATGGCACCCTCCTGTGGGTCCCGCATTCCTCTGTGTGGATGGTGCGGCTGCAGGTATTTGTGCGGGTTCTGCAGTGGCATCACCTGCACAGATGTGAACCAGGGGTAAGTGGGCACCAACAATTTGCCCTCTTTTTTTCTACTATTGCTTTGCTATTATATACCTGTAGAAGTTGTTCTTGTGTTACTATACCCCATATAACTGATATTGTGTCAGTGTGCTATATACAGTACAAGGTGGTCATCACTGGAAATGGTAATGTTGAACCCAACTTTTCCAGAATCTTCCAACTGCTTCATGGTTCACATATATGTATTTTAACTGTGTATTTAGATATTTGCTTTTATACCACCCTCTTCATTGTTTCACAAAAACTGGCTTGATGCCCTTCTTTGTTTGTATACAATTTGTTTTGAAAATTTTTGAGCAGTCCTTAAGTAAATTTAGGCTCACCATGAAAAGCTTCATACCGAGACTCCCAGTTCTTTAATAGGGAGAGTAAGAAATGTATAAGACCAGCATGTATGCCTAAGTAGTTATTTCTGCCGATAATATCACATAGACCGAATGCGTGTCCCATATTTTGTTTTTGCGAGAAAGAAATTGTTTATTGCTGACTGTGTGGTACAAACCGCAATTTATAGAACAGTAATTACCAAAAGGTATAATACAAGCCACAGAAGCCGCAGTCTGAAAATCATTATTCCCGGGATGGAGGATAATTAGTAGGGATGGTAATAAGATCTTATTATCCAAGATATTCCTTTTACACCCCAGAAAGGCAATTCTGACTTAATTACCAGAAGCAGCCATCGTGGAATATTTGGAAAAAGATGAATTCTAGCGGTATAAACAGACTTGTTACTGTTTTATAAATGGAACACTTTGCACAAGTTATCATTTCTCTAAGTGTTTATATTCTTCTGTAGAAAATTATATACTCAAAGTTAGACCACAGTACATCATTATGTCAGCATAAGCGTCTGGTGGCGCTCAACTAGAGATTTTAGTCTTTTGTAGTTTTTTTTTTTTTTTTCACATTCAAGTTTTTATTTGGTTTTTCAGAGAAAAACAGAAAAAACAAACATCTTGAGATAGAACAATAACATAATGAAAATATTATAATGTCTTAATATAGGTGTTACAATAGAATTTATCAAACAGAGAAAATTAGGTCATTTCTAAAAGTCATGAAAGTTAACAGGGTTAATCAATTGAAGCAAAAAGAATAGAGTCTTGCATAAATATTGAACATAGCTATTTTTTTTTTCCTTTTAAGTTGTAGTTTTAAACCAGTTGGACATTTTGGTTTTTTTTTTCATGTGTCCCTATCAATAAATTGCAATTATAGCTATTCACAAAGGCTAGAGAAAAAACAGAAAGTGCACTGGCTTTGCCTAATATCTTTAATAAAGCATTAATTACTGTATTTTCGCTCCATAAGACGCACCTAGTTTTTAGAGGCAGAAAACTAGAAAAAAAATATTCTGAACAAATGGACTGCAGACATAGTACAGGAAATGACCAGAGACTGCGGACACAGTACAGGGGATGACCAGAGACTGCGGACATAGTACAGGAGATGACCAGAGACTGCGGACATAGTACAGGGGATGACCAGAGACTGCAGACACAGTACAGGAGATGACAAGAGACTGCGGACATAGTACAGGAGATGACCAGAGACTGCGGCCCCAGTACAGGAGATGACCAGAGACTGCGGCCCAAGTACAGGAGATGACCAGAGACTGCAGACACAGTACAGGAGATGACCAGAGACTGCGGACACAGTACAGGAGAGTACCAGAGACTGCGGACACAGTACAGGAGATGACCAGAGACTGCGGACACAGTACAGGAGAGGACCAGAGACTGCGGACACAGTACAGGAGATGACCAGAGACTGCGGACACAGTACAGGAGATGACCAGAGACTGCGCAGACACAGTACAGGAGATGACCAGAGACTGCGGACACAGTACAGGAGATGACCAGAGACTGCGGACACAGTACAGGAGATGACCAGAGACTGCGGACACAGTACAGGGATGACCAGAGACTGCGGACATAGTACAGGAGATGACCAGAGACTGAGGACACAGTACAGGAGATGACCAGAGACTGTGGACACAGTACAGGGGATGACTAGAGACTGCAGACACAGTACAGGAGATGACCAGAGACTGCGGACACAGTACAGGGGGTCCCGTACAACGATCGGAGGACACAGCGGGCACCGGATCACGGTGCTGCGCGCTCCCAGGGAGCGCACACAAGCAGGGAGCAGGAAGGACATTTATAAACGGCCACCAGCCCCTGCACTGCTCCCGTCTGACCATTTATATACAGGGGCCAGACAGGAAGTGGTTAACCAGTTCCCCTTTAGGGCAAGTTTTAAATTTTTTTTATAAAAATCTGCATTTTTGGCTATAAAATTATTTAAAAAATCCCAGAATATTATACATTTTCTGAAAGCAGAGTAGAATTAAAAATATGGTGGTTGCAATTTTTTATGTTACGTGATATTTGTGGTTTATCAGATCTATAATTTCTTCAAAAAATACACTAAAGTGAATTTTATTGCACGCAACACAATTTATGCCCCCATTTTTTTAATAATAAAAAAATAAAAGATGAGGTAGTGTAGAGTAAATGGATATCAAATGTGTCAAGTCTTGAAAACTGCGAAAATTTATGGTACCCAAAATTATCAATAGGTGATGCTTTAAGGGCCTTATTTATTACAGGTACTTATATAACGCCATCAAGCCTCACAGTGCTTTACATATTTTATTGTACATACACTTCAGTCTACGCCCCTCGTGGAGCTTAAAATCTAAGGTTCCTAACTCACATTCATACATACACATACTAGAGCCAATTAACCTACCAGCATGTCTTTGGAGTTTGGGAGGAAACCCATATAGGTACAAGGAGAACATGCAAACTCTGTATAGGTAGTGTCATGGTTGGGATTCAAATGACCTCAGTTCTGCTAGGCAGAAACACTAACCACTTAGCAACTGTGCTACCCATGTTTATAGTAAACCATAAATGATGACCTTGTTATTGCATGCACTCTGACATTTGCGGCAATATATAACATGTATGGTGCAATCACTGTTCACATACATGTACATGCATGACCTGTGCATGCATTTGTGGATGTGAGCAGGGCTACCGAGTTGCTTTTCATTTTTTTTTTTAATAATTTTATTGTAATTTATTTTTACTATTTTCTTTTAACTTTTTTGCTATCACAAGGGGGCTAACAAGCCCCTATGTGATATCATTAGGCAGGTGACAGGTCCTCTTTTATGGAAACATCAGGGGTCATCTCCTCTGCCCTCAAGGAGTGTGCTTATTTAGCTGTGCACCCAGCTTTCTAGCCAGGATTTTGACCGCTTTGAACTGGAAATGTTCAGAGCTGAGCAGGGGCGGACTGGGGCCCCCAGGCAATAGGGGATCATGGGGTCCCTGTGTCCTTGCCCACAAAAAGGTACAAAAAGGTACCAGGGGCATCTCATGGGGCCTCCTACTGACCCCGGGCTCTCGGGAAGTGCCCGAGTTTCCAAATGGTCAGTCCGCCCCTGGAGCTGAGTGCTTCCAGTTTACGCTGCTGCAGAGAAGATCGGGAAATGGATTTTCCCCAGTCTCATCTTGCTCACCATTCTGACAGTAGCTGTTGTGGTCCCCAGACTCCAGGGAGGAGCAGGAGAGTCTAGGAACCACTAAAGGGGCAGTTACAAAATCCCAACGCACACGTTCCTGCATTGGACATCGGCTGTATGTATGGGGGGCTGTAACGACCAAAGGCTGTAACCGTGATACATCAAGGAATACAAATATTGCCAGAAAACCGGGTTTCTCCAAATGGGTCCAAAGCTTTAAATGTGTAATCACATAGTTACAAGAAAAGCAAAGTTTCAGAGTCTCACAGGACCCATTCATCGGCATGTTACGCGCCCGATGAAGGGGTCCTGCGAAACTGCGAAACATTGCTTTCCTTGTAACTATGTGATTACACATTAAAAGCTTTGGACCCATATTGGAGAAAACCGGTGTGCTGGCCATATTTCTATTCACTGGTAGGGGTCAGTCACATAAAAGTAATCAGGCGGCTCCACAGCCAACTCGATCAATTTTACATTAAAGCCCAGAGCCCCCTGATAAAAACTCACTGTTCACTCTTTGGACATACCAGACATGTCCAAAGAGGCAAACCAGTGTACCTAAACCCATAACCAAAAATGTAGTATATTGCAGGTTACTAGTCTATGGTGTGGTAGTTGCATTTGTTTTCTTTTTTCAAGTGTCTTTTGCTTTATCTTTACCCAGTAATGCTGCAAATAACACACTTCCTGTCCCAGGGTAGCTATGTTACTCCTCCACTGTATTTATGGGGGGAGCCATGGTTGTCATCCTAGGCTGCTCTTCTGATATATGTACTTCAAGCATATCCATATATCTTCAGCTCCATTACTTGAGGGGGGGTGGCAGGTTGGTAGTTTAAAAAATAAGTGTGGTCAGAGATTTTTGCAAGGCTTGGATAGAGCATCGAAGGGATCCAAGGACAGAGCCTTGGGGGACCCCTATGGAAAGATAAAGAGAAGAAGAAGAAGAGGAAGAGAGTTGTAGATGACACTGGACACTGAAGGAGTGCTTAGATATGTAGCGCTACCCCCTTGAGAGCCACTGGTTTTGGGTTCCCCTATTTTCCTGCACAGCCATGCAACACACATTTTCTAGCTTTCATGCAGTCAGTGGGATGCCCAACTTGACTACAACATTAACTCTGAGGACAAACTTGACAAAATGTAGGATCCTGGACTTCTACTCCATCCAGAGTGGCAAAAGTCTCTTCATGGATCAGTAACACAGCCTCTCTGAGGAGCTTTTGGACCCCTCTAAATAAACATCTTCAGACCCCAGCTAGAACTACCCATCCACCTGGCTGTCTTTTGAAGGGTATCCCTGAACAAGAGATTCCAAACAGGCTTCCAGCACTGTCCCAGGGAGAACTGGTTAAGTGTAGCACCTAGCAGCCCTCTCTCCTGTAGCCCCCGGAGGTGTAGAGGTACTCACACTGTCCTGCAGCTTTGGATGAAATGCTTTCAGGCTTTTTCTGGGCTGGCTCCCTTTTAGGCTAACAGACTGTCCTTCCTTGGTGGATTGTAAGGCAGTGGAGCTCCCTCTATCAGATTCCTTCTGATTTCCAGTCTGGAGACAGAGCCCCACTCCTTCAGGGTCCCCTCCCCCAGGCTAACAGCAAAATTCCTCATTACTCCATCTTCCACCCGACCTCCCTGCTGGCCAGGCTCTCTTCTATTTATGAGCCAGTCATCCACACTGCCAGGCCTTCTGCCTGGGATCAGACATACTCCCATAGTTATGCAAATTAGTTTCTATTGGCCTCCACCCAGGGGCGTACTGACAATGCATGGGGCCCCCGAGCAATAGGGGATCATGGGTCCTTGCCCAAACTCAAAAAAGCCTATGAAAAAGGTACCAGGAGCATCTCATGGGGCCCCCTACTGACCCCTGGCCCTCGGGCAGTGCCTGAGTTTCCAAATGGTCAGTCTGCCCCTGCCTCTACCCACTGGCTTCTAGAAACTTCTTCAAGCTTCTAGAGCAGGGGGAGGTGTCAGAGGACTAACCTGTATTGTCCTCCAGTCTGATGTGGAGAAAACCCTCTTACTTATACCCAGGCTTCTAGCAAGCCACTAACTACACTATTAAATTATGTACACAAGAGGGCACTACAGATAGGTAGGAGGATAACCAGGACAAAGCAGAGTCATGGAGGCCAAGAGAGTTTTTCAAGAAGGAGCAGGTGGTCAACTGTGTTGAAGGCAGCAGAAAGGTCTAAGAATGAGTACAAAATAATGGCCATTGGATTGAGCAGTTAGTAAGTCCCTAGTGGGTTTTAGGAGAGCAGTTTCTGTGGAGTGTTGTGGGTGAAAGCCTGACTAAAAGCTGAGATGGTAGTTCTCAGTGAGTAGTAGCTTAAATGGGTATATACTAGGCATTCTAGGAGTTTGGAGGTATATGGAGCAAGAAAATGGATCTTACAGATTGATGGGGTCTAGTGAGGGCTTTTTAAATATGGGGGTGACAAGTACATATTGTAGATGGGAGGGGAAGATGCCAGTAGAAAGGGAGAGATTGAAGATGTAAGAGAGTGTAGAGTAGATCGAAAGGGTGACCAGAGTAGTTGTACTTCTATTAATGATTATCTGCCTGGAGTTCGGCTTTAAAAAGCAGTCCTTGACTTCATGCCGTTGGAAGGAATACTCAAGTGAACTAAAGGGTGTTTTCATAAATTTTCCTGGGGTCATCCTTTAAGATGTTCATGTCATCTTATAAAACAGATGACCAGTTTGAAAAAAAAAAAAAGCTTTATAATTTATTACATCTCAGCTTTGAGTGTTTCCACAATTTCAGTGATTCAGCGCCAGGAGAACAGAGAGCTTGACTTTTTAAGTGGAATAAGTGGTAAATAGTAACATCTGCCAGCGTGAAATTTACATTTTCATAGGGATGTTAATGAATGTTTACAGATGTAGAAGTGATCTGTAGTGGAACAAGGGGAAACTCCCCTCAAGCTCCACCATGTCAGGGTTTCCAATGATAGATCATTTTCACTTGCTTGTAAGAATCTTTCTTGTCCGTTATTCTTTTCCATAAGTTATATTTCATCTTCTTCCCTTTTTTCTTTCTTCACTGTTTCTGGTCCACTGTTTTTAAAGTGAACATTTACTTTTTCCCCTATCCATCTCAAGTAACATGTCAGCAGTCTCTAATCATCTCCTGTATCATGTCTGCAGTCTCTGATCATCTACTGTACCATGCCTGCAGTCTCTGACTGTCCTCTGTACCATGTCTGCAGTCTCTAATCATCTCCTGTACCATGTCTGCAGTCTCTGACCATCTCCTGTATTATGTCTGCAATCTCTGACCATCTTCTGTAGTATGTCTGCAGTCTCTGACCATCTCCTGTACCACGCCGGATGTATCTGACCATCTCCTGTACCACGTCTGCAGTCTCTGACCATCTCCTGTACCATGCCTGCAGTCTCTGACCATCTCCTGTACCATGTCTGCAGTCTCTGACCATCTCCTGTACCATGCCGGATGTATCTGACCATCTCCTGTACCACGTCTGCAGTCCCTGACCATCTCCTGTACCATGCCTGTAGTCTCTGACCATCTCCTGTATAATTTCTGCAGTCTCTGATCATCTCCTGTACCATGTCTGCAGTCTCTGACCATCTCTTGTACCACGCCGGATGTTTCTGACCATCTCCTGTACCACGTCTGCAGTCTCTAACCAATTCCTGTATCATGTTTGCAGTCTCTGA